CTCTTGGGATGTCTTCGGTTTTTTTTTTTGCTTTTGCTTGGTAAGATTCAACGAGATTTCCCTTGACAGCAGCCAAAGCATCTTGCAGAGAAGTGGGTAATATTCTCACCCCGCCAAACACACAATACAGTTTTAAACAAGAACTCCCGTGTGAGAAACCACAAGAAGGATAAACACGCGCATGGCTGTGAAGTAAAACAGAATAGGTGCACACGATGACTAAACACAGGCAAGCACCGAGAACAGGGCTGGGAGGCACATGGTTGTTCATCTCTTCTCGGGACATGGACATCCCAATTTTGCAAAGAAAGCTCCAACCAAAAGGGGAGTTAGTTCAACCTGAAGTTCTATTTCTATAAATAAGGCACTTTCGGCCAATTGCGAAGTGACATTCTGGTGCCCCAGCATGCAATGCGCCAGGTTTGACATGTCACCCGCAGATGGACACCCTTTGTGCCTGAGGTGGGGTTTCCTTCACTGAGGGGGGACTGGGGTCAAGGTCTACAAGAGGCACAAATCATGCAGGCTGCAGCCAGAGTGAGGCAGGGGGGAAAGGGGAAACGTGCCCCCCAGTTAAAGCTCATTGTGCACAGTGGCTTTCCCAGGTGCAAACCGTGCTCCTAACCCACACAGCAGGCCACGGCAAACGCGTACCTGCTGTTTACAAGCTCCGCCCCTTACCAAATTCCAAGACAGATTTTTTTTTTAAGAAACAAGATTTTTTTAGGTTTTTTTCCTTCTGTACAAGCATGTTTCTAACTATCACGAGACACACAGCCGCCGTGCTGAGTTACAGAACACCAGCTCTCCGGGACTGCATTACTGCTGCCAAAAGTCCCCAAATGTTCTGGTGTGAATTTTAAAGGGAGGCAGTCAAAAGAATACAGAAGCACATTTTAACCTCTTTAAAACCAAATCCTTACTGATGGTCAGTCGGTCAACACTGAAATACAAGAACTGTAGATGTGTCGGTTTTAAAAGGCTTATTAGAAAGTTTGTGATGCACTGTTACACAACTCATCCCTACTGCAACCACTCTTCTTGCAGACCTTGGTGACTAAACATTATACAAGATGACTGGTCTTATGATTAAAACAAGTCAGATGATGTGCACACAACGGCTCCTAGATACAGTGGCATGGGTTTGCCCTGCCTGGGATACACAAATTGGATAAGGGATTCATCTTGGATCCTTAACGTGATCTTCACACATGCATTGCAACAGAAGGCGCCCACCGATTTAATAAGAAAACACTTCAAACCCCTTTGCACGCCATTTTCTAAAGAATAAACACATTCAGCAACTTCCTCACCAAAGAACTACAAAAAAAAAAAACTTCACAGGGATGCTGAACAGAACAACAGCGGGGAAGGAAAAACCCTTCAGGAGATGTATCTGGTACACCTGATGTCTGCCGTCATGTCACCCAGGTCCGGACTCATATCGACACAGGTCGATCCCGTCACTAACCCAGGTGTCCGAAACGCCCTCTGTTGGGTTTTTGAAGTGGAGAACAAAAGTGGCTCACATTTATAAGGCATCACACTGTATTTTTGCAGGCTGACTCCATCACAAGGAACTGGAGAAATTATTTTAGAGTAAATCCTGTGGGAAAGCAATGGGTTAACTAGCTTGCTAAAACAGGTGTACATTCAGACCCTTCATATCTCACTTGCTGCACCAACCCCAGACATCACCACGCAAAAAATACAATATTTAAACAATAGTAAGTTCTGATAGGTTTAACAGGCTACTGGTACTCGGTTCTCTGCTTGACTGATACCATTTCCGTGTACAAAAGAGGAAGGTCACAAAATTGCAATCTCAACTTGACAGGGCTGGGAATTAAGCACGTATTATATCATATTGATAAGTTACCATATTCAGTTATCAAAAGTCAGGATCAAATCTTACTGCTGTGGAATTTCCATTTATTTAATTGCTGTAAAGGAACATCTAAAAAACACTCCATGTCTCTAACCCAGATCTCAACATCTAGAGCTATTATCTAAATCACTGGACCAATCAAGCTTACCAATTAAAAGCACCACAAGTATTTCATCCATATCGGAGAAAGTTCGAGTCGTTCAAAACATCAGTTAGCCCCTTTATATCTCCAGGCTTTAAGTGGCTTCTGATTGTTCAAAACATTTTGGCATAAAACCAAAGAACGATCAGACTGTGTAACAGGCTGAAGAGCACACCGCCAGTGTCTTGTAAATACAGTGCAAGAATCGATCCAAGGGACAGGGACGAGGCACAGGACTCGTACGCGTACGTGCACCGTGTGCGCAAGCGTGTAACTGGCGATCTGATAATCACCTCACCAGCCTCCAACTCGAGCAGTGAGTTTTCCACTCCAGCAACACTACCTACAACCACAAGGAGGATTTCTGAAAAACTGATTTTAACTTCGGTAGTGCTCTTTTATTCGTAGTGCAAAATACCTCTTTGGTCAGAGTGCCGTTCTGGTTTATTTTTCACAAACCTATTATGCAAACTCATACTGTCTAACCAAGGTGCGTGAGCACGTCTTTCCAAGACTTTAGACCCAAACACATCCCCCATCCCCCTTCCGAAGGGACAGCACAGAGGGGACAGACAAATTCGCTTCTACATTGTAGTTAAAACGTGAGCTGTTCCTCAGTCATCACAACTCCAATCCTATTTTAGCCTGTATCATAACAGATGCAATCTGAAAAACTTCGGGACGATGTATACCTTCCAATAAAATACAGACCTCATTACGCTTCACAAAGAAAACGATGAACGATTGTCACTCGTCTTTTGTGCTTAAAGAAATCACCTGTTACAGCTTTACAACTCAGACGTCGAGTAAGTTCACATTTTAGCAAAACTCATGTTCCTACAATACTTAAAAATATGGAAAATGAGATTTTATTGCTTGATGCTGTATGTGATTATCGTTGCTATAAAAAAATGCCCGCACGAGCCAAACCATGACTTCATTCATAAGTATTAAAAGCCTCAGACAAATGATTTCCTCATGCTTGTAGCCCGTAGAGGTTTATTAAATTTGTGTTTATTTTGGGGAGAAGTTTTTAAATGGACAGCACACGACTACAAATGCCATACTACAAGGAAATTTGCTTGAAACGCTGAGCCACAAACAGCTCTCTCCCGATTGCCAATAAACCATGATCATACCTCCTCAATATTACTAGTGAGGAATATGTAGTTCTCCATATGCCAACATTTGCAACAAAAAAAGCCACGCAAACGCCAACGCGACACCGGAAAATGTGATCTGTCCCCAGACCCAGCGAAATTGATAGGATTGACCTGTTGCTTTAAACGTAGTCTGTACAGACGTCTGAAAAGCAGAAAAAAAACCGAGAGGCCATGCTGTCTGCCCTGAAGAGTTAGCGTCGTGGCTCAAGAAAAAAAAATAAAGAAACGCTCTCGGGCCACAGCTAAGTAATGAACGGAACGTGTGACTTCAGTGAACTCCAAAAACCTTGGCTACTTTCCTGCAGTACCTCATGATGGTTACATTTATACTACTGACAAAAGAAGTGGCCCTATAAGAAAACATAAATAGGGGGGAATAAAAGTGAAGTATTTTCAGAATATAGTACCCCCAAACCCACACAGAATCCTGACTTAAGTCCAGAAAGTTAGGGGTTAAAATGCTAAATAAGGTTACAGAAATGTGCCTAGCAACTCGACACGAGAAACCCCTTTGTTATTAATTTTTTAGCATTAACTCGCCCCCAACCTTCTACTTCGTCCGAAAAAAATATAACTACAGGACGTCGTGCCAAGGATTTGCTTCCGACACTCCTAGTGATTGAGCCCAAGGTTTATATTATCCGTAGTTTTTATTCTTCCTTGCAAAGATAAAATGGTTGCTGTTCTCTCGCACAACATGAACCTCTGCAATGCGACTGGAATTACTGCCTTCTTAAAACGATCCCCAGTATGTCACCTTTGCGCCTTAATCAAAGCTACTGTTACATCGCGGCGTGTTTTTAACGCGGATCTCTTAAAACGATTAAACCCAAATCCCCTCCGTGCTTCACGAAATTTACCAAGAAACCCTGAAATAATCGTGGCAGCCAGCCCCGGCTGCGGCGACTGCTCACAACCACTCAGAGGTCACACGGAGAAAACGTGCAAAACGAAACAAAAACAACTCGCACAGTGCATTTCCACAACCATAAAACCGGTTTGCAAATCGCCGGGAACAGAAACATGGGGATTCACGGCTGCGAAGTTTGCAGTGTTGCCACACGGCAGCCAGGGAATTTAAAGGCAAAACGCAAAACGGGCCTTTTTTTCCCCCAGTCTCGGCGATGAAATTAAAGATCAAACAGCCCCTGCCCGTGTGTGCGTGCTCCAGTCTACTGGCCTTGACTTCTGCAAACGTGGTCCTCGCTAATCGCAACTAAAAAAATCACCTACAACTCTCCGGTAATGCTCCCACCCTTGAGCACATCTGTGAAACCACAGTAAATCGATGACAACATGATAGTTTATTAACAAATTGATAATGGCATCGGGCAATGCTAAACCCGGAAAGAGCCAGAGGCAACCTACAGCTATGGCTGTCTGTGCACGGCTCAAAATTACGAGAATATGAGGAACAAACAAAGCCATTCCAGATGGCAATTGCTGGGAAAATAAATGTTATTGTAGGTAACGCCGCGCCTGATTATTAAAATCATCTAAACAAATACAACGCTGTAATGTGATCCCCCTACGAGGCTGCCTTATTTGCACGGTAGACCCAGCCACCGGAGAACCCGAAATGAACTCCCCCTTTGCAAATAAAAACATTTTACCTAGAAACCAGGGCTGGGAACGTTTCTACATAACTAAAAACGTGCAAAACGCCAGCGGACTCAATCCAATCGGCCCGAGATCAAAGTTCTCAATGCATTTTAATCACAACAAGCGGAGAGGACATGGAAACTTGTTAAGGTCAATTTAAAACCCCACACTGCCTCGCACAGCAGCAGAAAAAAAATGAACTTACATATTTCTTTTGAATAATATTCCTCTTGGGTCGTTCCTTGCTCATTCTGCGATCCAAGTCGTGTTTGCTAAACAGAGAATTGCCACATGAATTTTTCCCTTTCCTCGTTTATGCTTTTTCTTGAAGAACACGCCAAAGACTATTTAAATCCCCGGTACGCAGATCTGGGGAGTACGTATTTATTCCTTGTCGTTGCCTTCACGGAGCAGGGACTCGCCTCGATTTGATAGTAAATCCCAAGTTAGAAATCCACGACGCAGGAAAAACAATCACAGAAAAAGGGGGCTCCGATATAACGTACTCATAATAATTCACGATATCTTCCATTCGTAAGCAAAAAAAATAGGACGTCATCCGCTCTCCCCGAGTGTCGCGAAATTAAGAAGCGTATTCTAGTGGGCGTTTGCGTACTGCTGGAAGCTACATCTTGTTCGGGGAGGGGATTTAAAGATAAGAAAATAAATAAAAGGTTCGCAGTCACGTTTCGGCTGGAGCTCGCAGACGAGATGACTGAACTCTCCAGCAGCACTGCTAATCTGCACTGAGCAATGCTCTTTCTTCCTCGGCCTCAGCCTATCGCAGCCCAGCGCAGCGCAGCGGTAACTTTAAAAGGCTTCGCTCATTAGGGACCGGGTACAAATCATGAACCGACTTCGTTCTTCGAAGCACAATTTTCCCTGCCACCGGCTCTGGGCTCTGTGTATGTACAGAGGGGAGGAATCTGCATATTTAAAAGCACACATGTATACATATACAAACACACTGCCGTTGCTGTACCTTACAAGCATGATATAATGGTTATTGGTGGCCAAGATGCATTTTTACGGCTTGGTGTATGAAGTTAAAGCCAGACGTAGACCTCTCAGTAATGAATGTAGCGCCCCCTGTGTTCTGTTTACTTAATAAACTCGAGAGGAATGTTATTAACCTGATTTAGTTACACACCTCACTGTATTCTCTTTTCGTTTTAGGGAACTCTTGTAAACCGTGAACAGCGGCGTTGTAAGTTAGGCTTTATTTTCGTTAGTACGGCTGTCTGACCTATCTTTTTTTTAAAGTGTGGATTCATGAACCTTTAGACTTGCTTTAAAAGCTTGTATCAATGGTGCATAACTCCAGCCCACCTCAGAACCCAGATGGGAAGTATGCAGGTAATCCAACAAAGATAAGGTTAAAAATAAAAAAAATACAATTAAATGATCGCGTTTCCCCTTAAATCGTTTACGAGCAGAATACTGTATGATCGATCCAAGACTTTCAATCTCGTTATCTCAATTTAATCATTTAATTCCAAGTCCGACATGAATCACAAGGACCAGGAGGAACGTCGGCAGCCGTTCGTGGGTTAAAAGAGTAGAGTGCTTGACATACTGTACGCCCTCCCTCATGAAGATTCTAATCACAAGTATACCCAGCACATGATACAATTAAACCATGCAATGCACAGCAGCAGACAGTAATGTAATTTTTCTCTGTCTGTCACTGGAGAGAACGAGTTCCACAGACCTAGACAATTATTCAAGAAAGGGCGTTGAGTATTACAGCAAAACTCAATTACAGAGTAAGACCAGTTACAAACGCGAGGAGACATTATCTAGTTTGTTTGGTTGCTAGTAGCTGTAACTGATCCAAGGATCTCATTCAGCCATCAGAGAATCCGGGGCACTGGCTTCGACAATGTGAATGGGTTGTTCCACACCCCCACTGCCCTTTGTGGAAAGAAGTACCTACTGTTCTCAGTTTTAAATGTACCTCCCTGTGTCCACAGGTTCATGTTTCACCGTTCATTCTGAAGAAGTTCACTAAGTTGAGCCCTTGAGGATACTGATTACTTGAATAAGGTCCCCTCATAGTCTCCTCTGTTCAGGACAAAAGGGGTCTGTTCCTTAAGTTTGTCAGTGTAGAACTGTCCTTCAAGACTCGGAATGTATCTGGTTGCTGTTCTCTGGACTGATTGCAGAGCAGCGAGATCTTTTTTAAAGTTAGTGACCTAAATTTTTAAATGAGGTCTTACTAGATTACTCAATTTTAGAACAACATCTACTGATTTAAATTCTACAATGTAACTTCTAACATTCTGTTTAACTTCGTTATTGCTTCCATACTAAAATGAAGGGAAGACATTTGTTCATTCTAGATCAAAATCGAGGCTACTAATTAAAATCAAGAAGAACAGTGGTCCTAGTACAGACTCCTGTGGAACACAACTAATAACTTCACCCCAGTTTGATCTGTCTATGTCCGAGGTAACAATTACAAAGGTGTGTCACGTTGACAAGGCAATAATTTAAAAAATATATATAATATCAAAATCATAATAATAACAATATACAAAATGTTCTTGGGACCAGAGTTCATGCCTTTACTGTGGGAGTTCTGGAGATCAACATATTCACATTCATTTTGGGGTCTACAACCCCAAACCAGTCCTTTTTCTAGTAAGTCTTAAGCATCACCCACAAATTACTCCTTTTTTTAACAATTAGGTGCAAGAGTAAGATATTGATCAATTAAGCAAGCAAGCCACTCAATTAAGGGAAGAGTTACAACAGAGAACTGAAGGGTATTCAGAATCGTGTTGTCAGTGATTTGTAAATAAGTACATTTGACAAAGCACTTGCTTAAATGATCATAATTCAGTTCTTCCAAATGATACGAAACCTGTGTTTTAGTGGTTACCCACTCTTCCTTCTGGATCTTAAGGGTCTTTCCAAGGCCAGGGCTAGGAGGAGACCCCTGGTATTGAAGATGAGCAATGATGGTCTGTGCTTGGTGTACATGACCCATGTGCTCAGTCCGAATACGTCTAGCCTGACTGCACCAGCAGGATGTTGCTGTTGATCCAATCAATCAGTGTAATCAAGACCGATTCGCGACTGTCTCTTTACACATATGTGTTATCATTGTAGTTTTGGATAACACCCCTTAGCTTAAAGTGCCTACCAGAGTGATTCCAGCTTTCTTTTTTGATGTAACATCTGCTTAGCGGAGTGGGTGCAGCCTGGCCACAGGGACAAGTCAGTCAGAACTCCTCATGCAGAGCTGCAGACATGGAGCAGAACTGAGCATCAGCATCAGGAAGCTGCATGAGTTTGGAGCTGCCTTCTCTCCAAAATATTAGGTCCTAAAATCCATATTTTGAAGTAGGATATGATCTGAAGTTGGATATTTGCTTCTGCACATCTACAGCTATGACAACACTTTATGCTTTTTTGATTTGGGGGCAAACTGGTGTTACACTCAGTACTAGAAACTCAAGTGAAAACCTACAATTCTTTAAAGAATATGTATCCTTTATTTGGTGAAACTGTTGGCTACAATACCTTGCAGGTTGGCAACCCTGCCAAAACAGTGCATATCATTATCAGTAATGGGGATGGAGTGGTAGTAAAGAGACCTTTAAAACTATAGAAATGATGCCTTTAAAATGAGTTGATACAATTAAAAACTGCTACTTCTCTTGCAATCCTATTATTATTACACCTGTGCTTAATCACTGGCATTAGCGCCCAGTTCCGGGGTGTCAGTGTAACTTGGAATGGGGAGCTTAGATGGACCAGACACCAGAAGACACAGGCCCCTCCAGGAACTGAGTTTGAGACCCCTTATCTAATATATTACAGGTGGTGCCCCCTAGGATGCAGATGATAGTGTATGTTGATGGGTTAATAATAATTCTTTACACTTATATAGTGCTTTTCTGGACAGCTATCAGTGGGGAGGAGAAAAGAGTTATGACGCCAGTTCATAGATGGGGATTATTAGGAGGCCATTATTGGTAAAGGCCAGGCGGAAATTTGGCCAGGACACTGGGGTAATACCCTTACTCTTTTCAAAAGACATCCTGGGATGTTTAATGACCACAGAGAGTCAGGACCTCTCTTTTAAGTCTCATATGAAGGATGGTGCCTTTTCTACAGTATAGTGTCCCCATTACTATACTGAAACATGATGACCTACACAGGCTGCAGGGTGAGCACCCCCTACTGGCCCCACTAACACAATTTCCAGCAGCAACCTTTTTGCCAGGAGGTCTCCCATCCAGGTACTGACCAGGTTCTCCCCTGCTTAGGGCCTCACTCTGTTGCCACTTGTGAGTTGTGAGTTTCAGGGTGATACAGCTGTTGAGGTGTTCCTCAATGAATGGTAAAGCTTCTACTTTGTGTCTTGTACTTGTTTTGTGTGCTTTGCTGAAAGGCGTAAAGGGTGTACCATTCCGCTATACAGGCCTATTTAAATTGTTTTCTTGTCAGACATATCACACCAATGGGTATCACACAGGAGAAGAGCTTCGATAAAAGAAAACTATTGGATCTCTTAATTCAGTTCTCTTAATTGAAACAGAGAGAATCAGGTACTGCAAAGCTGATTAACAACACTGGACAGCCCGACACATTTGATTCTAATTGCACTTCAGTGTCCAGTTCTTTTCCTTTTGCCCACCATCCTCCTCTCAAGTTCACGGCATAGGTCACAGTGTGGGTTTTCTCTACATCAGCTTTGTTTTTCATTTCATGCCGTAATGTTTTTAGGAATTGCTTTTTTCAGTTTGGCAAACATTCAGTTTGCATTATTCTCAGTGCCTGACAGCGCAACATGCCTGTGAATTTAAAGAAAAGGCCGATGCCAAGACACCACTTGTACACAAAGGTGGACTGAATTTTCTGTTTTTATTCATGATCATTAACAAGGGGGGGTGCTGGGAAGCTAGTAGCAATGAGATGTTTCTTCAGTAAGAAATCTAAACTAATCTTAATTCACTTGGAGAAAGCAAAATAGCCTAACAGTAGAGCTGTACACTTCACTTTCTGTAGGAGAACGATTGACAACCTGTAAATGGGTATAACACACTAAATAACATTACAATGTAACAAAACAATTATCTGGACATACATTTTTTATTTAATTATGAATGCTTTAAGACTAAATGCTTTTTTATCTACTTATAATGGAAGGTGAAAAACTTGGAACACAAATGATTAGCAAGTTTGAAGCCGTGACTGTCACACATACTTCATTTTTTAAATACTTCAGCAATGAAAGAAAATTGATGTTATTGTCTTTAGTACTGATAGCAACATATATATTAACACAAATAGTAGTTTAATAGTTCAGTTTGAGCAGGAAATGTCTCTGTATGTTGTTCTAATAACACAAAAAGCAAACTCTAATTTAAGCTTATGTTGCATTTTAATTTATTGCTTTTTTTATTTTAACAAATAAAACATTTACAAACATAGCTTTCAAACTTAAATGAGAGTGTGTTCCAGAAGTTTCCCTCATTCCTGAGTATGACATGGAAAAATATGAAAACAATTCCCCTCCTCCAACACAGGGTCTCAGGAACCATTACTAAAATTAAATAATTACAGTACTATATTTCAGCATTCACAATGTTCATTTTTATTCATGCCTTGAAATACCTAGACAATACATTTTGTAAATTTATTCCTTTTATGTGGTTTGCAGTCTGTTGGTAGTTTCACAAAGACTAAGGAGATTTGTGGAAATTTAAATTTCATGGAAGCTTCCTGAATTCGCCATGATTGGCACTAGGTATTAAGGGAGGCTG